TCCACCCCCGGTCCCGAAGCTCCGCCGGCCGCCGCCATGAGTAGCTTTGGAGCTGGGTGAGACCCTCGCAGACCCCTCCTGTCCGCGCTTCCCGGGCCTGGGTCCCAGCTCTCCCCCCTCGCAAGGGGACCCAGGCGCGGGAGCATCAGCCCTTTCCGCCCGCGGAGGGAACATGGAGACACGCCCCTTCCCTTAAACTTGACTGCTTTCCTCGCTGCTTCAAGTTCGGGGCGCTGTGGGAGTGGGGGTGGGGAGCGTTGGAAGAGCCGTGCTGTTTAGGAGGGAGGTGTCCCTGGAGACTCTGCTCTTGCAGGATCGCGTCCCTGCCACTTCGTGCTGTGTGATCTTTGGCGATCACTGCCTCTCTGGGCCTGTGTCTTAGGCTCTGCACGATAAACCGAGCAAAGCACACGGCCTGCAGAGAGGCAGCGCTCCGCTCCTTACGCGGCCCCCATTGTTTATTCATCAGAGACCTCCCCCAGGGGTGGGGTGAAGGAGTGGTGTCTCTCCTTTTCTGACCTGCCTGCTAATTAGGATACTTTTTTGTTGTTCTGTCCTGACAGTAAAACCAAAGAAGCTATCTTCAGCGTGGGTAAGTGGGGAGAGGGGAAGGGGCTTGGTTGGGGCTTGGTGTGAGAGACCAGGAGCTGGAAGTCAGGGGACTGGCTGCTAGGCTTTTGCCTCTCTGGCCTCAGTTTCCCCACTTTTTTTTTTTTTTAAGTAAAGACTGAAGGGGAGAGGAAATAGGGATGGGGCTGATGTCAGCACCTGATCTCTGGGGGTGTCCTGGCAGAGGAGGGCTCCGTGAAAATGTTCCTGAGGGGCCGTCCTGTGCCCATGCTGATCCCGGATGAGCTGGCGCCCACCTACAGCCTGGACACTCGCTCAGAGCTGCCTTCCTGCAGACTCAAGCTGGACTGGGTGTATCCTTTTGCTTTAATCCCTACCTCCTTGTGCCCACATCTCATCCCCCAGTCAGGAAGGGACAGAAGTCCTTCTGGTGTGGGACTTCAGCACATGGAAGCGTCCTTTTACTGAAGATGGGAATTCCCAGGCCTCTGTGGCTTGAGGGGTCAGGATGATCCTGGAGTTGGAGGGAGCAGTTGAAGGCATGTTAACTGAAATGACCTTTTATGATACATTAAAGCAGCAAATGTTTGCTGGGTGCCTTCCATATGTCAGATTCTTTCAGTTGCAAGCTGGTTCATGGAGCTCACCTTTTAAAGCTGGTGGGGACACATAACACAGAAGTCAGTGATTAAATAAACAAGATAATTTCAGTTAGTAATAAATGCTGGGAATATTGTAGCCTAAGCTCATGTGAGACAAGTCACCTTGCCTCCCTGTGTCTGAGTTGTTTCTCTGAAAAATGGGTTTCATGATCCCAGATTCATAGGGCTGTGAAACAACGTGTAGAGGTGCTGAGCTCATAATAAGTGCTCCATAAACAGAGATTATAAAATAAAAAGTCATCATTATTGAGCACTTATTTGATGTATAAATATGTTGAATAATAGGATTCTTCTCTTTTGTGGAATTGAGAATGTATTTTCACAACTAGTGGCCTCTGAGAGCTCTCTGAGGCGTGCAGGTTGGGAATTATTACCCCCACTTCCCAGATAAGGAAACTGAGGCTGAGAGAGGGGCCTGAGCCCTGTCTTAGGGAGGCAGAGCAGATCTGAGTTAGGAACTCTGACTCTGGACCCCAAGCTTTTCCCCAAAGCCCACTAGGGCTTGGGATCAGCATCCATGGAACCCTACCCTGTCTTCTCTTGGCCTTGGTTTCTGCTCTGAAGGAGGTAGGGATGTTGGAGCCCAGAATGTCCTTGAGGCAGCTGGAAATATACACGGGAACCGATGAATATGAAGCTGTCCTGCCAGGATGGGCTTGATAGCATCAGATGAGAGGCAGCTGAGAGAGCCCAAAGTCAGTGTGGGTCTCATTTCCCATCTCAAAAATGACTACAAAGTGGAGCACTTTCTGTGGGGTTGGGATATACATGTTGACATTCATTCAAGTCTTTTCTGAACATTTTCTGGGGCCAAAGGCTGGGGACCCAGTAGTCACTGTGACAGTGTCTGTCTGCCCTCCTGGGCTCACAATCCAGTGTTGGGACAGACTCCTTGACAGTGACAACTCAGGGTGGGCAAGGCTGGGATGGGGGAACCCAAAGGAGGCAGCTGCCCTAGCCTGGGTGTCAGGAAGGCTTCTCAGAGGAGGAGTTAGAGAGGTGAACAAAACAGCCCCGAGTTCCCCACCATGGAACTCAGTCTCATTGGGAAGTAGGGACAGCTAACAGACCAGATAATTACTAAGTGGGATAAGTCCAGTGGAGGAAATGAGCCTGAGGATAGTGCTGAGGAGGCGACAGCTAAGAAGGGTGGCAGGTAGAATGGACTAGGCAAAGGGAAAGTTGGTGCCAAGGCCTGGGGTAGTGGTAATGATCATGGCATTTTGAGGAACTCCAAAACCAGAGCAAAGGAGGGCAGGAGCCCTGCTAGAGCCAGGGAGGGGCCAACCAGGCTTTCTCTTAGTAGTACTGGGGAGCCACAGAAAGTTCTGAATGGGAGAGTCAGTCATTCCTTCAGCAGATACTGAATCCATACTGGGGTGGGCCAAAGTAGCTTTGAGTATGCAAAACAGTTTATTCTTATATTATTATTCATTCTTTAATTATTGTATTTTTTTATTATTGTTATTAACCTACTTTTGCCCACCCCGTATGTCCTCTGTGCATCAGGCCCTGATCTGGGCATGGCAGATATAGCAGTGAGCAAAGCTGACAAGCTTCCCTGCCCTTCGGACGCTAGTGGAGGAGATGGCTAAGTTAAACAGATAGCAGGTGCGATGCTGAGTGCACTGCAGAAATGCGAGGGGGGGATGGTGGCAGTAAGGGTGCATGGGTGAGTTTGCAGTTTCCAAGAGCATGGGCAGGAAGGCCTCCCCAGGAGCTGACCGTTGAGCAGAGAGCTGAAGGAAGTGAGGGAGCCTCCGAGAGATGAAGGGGAGGTGCATCCAGTGGAGGGAACAGCCAGGGCAAAGCCGGGGAGGTGAGAGCAGGGAGGAGGCTCTGTGACTGGATCTGAGTAGGTAGAAGGGGAGCGAGGAATCAGGGCCCACCTCAGGCCAGGCCTTGTGCCCTGGCTTTCGTAAGGACTTTGACTTAGACTCTGAGTGAGATGGGCCCGTGCGAGGTTCTGAGAAGAGAAGGCATGTAAGCTGACTTACTGTTAATGGATTTAACCAAATCCGTCTGGGGGAGAGGGCTGGGCCCCCAGGTTATATTAGTTTCCCGTGGCTGCTGTAATAAGTTACCACAAATGTGATGGCTTAAAACAACAGAAAAGTCTTCTCTCACAATTCTGGAGGCTAGAAATTCCAAATCAAGGTGTTAGGAGGGCCACGCCTTCCTGAGGCTCTGGGGAGAATTTGTCACTGTCTGTCTCCCAGCTTTTGGTGGCCGTTTGGCAACCCCAGGAGTTCTTTGGCTTGTAGCTGCGTCATTCCAAGTCACTCCAATTTCTATGTTCACATGCTCTTTTCCACCCCTGGGTCTGGATCTTCCCTGTGTGTTATAAGGACAGTTGTCATTGGATTAGGACACTCATAATCCAGGTGATTCCATCTTAAGATCCCCAGTTACGTCTGCAAAGACTCCTCTCCAAGTAAGGTCACATTCACAGGTTCCGGGGTTCATATTTTGGTGGATGTAATTTTGGGGATGTACCACCATTCAAGCTCCCACGGCGGTGATCTTGAAAGCAAGAAAACCCACCTCCAGTTACTTGGTTGAGCTCGGTAGTCAGTCCGCATGTGCAATGCCAAACAGGCTCCTTAACCAGCCCTGGGCATCTCCAGCTATGGCTACCGTGGCCGAGACTGCCGTGCCAACCTTTACCTGCTGCCCACAGGGGAGATAGTGTACTTCGTGGCCTCTGTGGCCGTACTCTACAGCGTGGAGGAACAGAGGCAGCGGCACTACCTGGGACACAACGATGACATCAAATGGTGAGGCCTGGGAGGCGGCCTGGAGGGAGATCCTGCTCAGGACAGTTTTGGGGGCGGTGGGGTAGATCAAGCCTTCGCTGGCCTGCAGGCTGAATTCAGAGGGAAAAAGTGTGGATTGATTATATTTCAAGTGTTGGTGAATTCTCTCAAATGCCTGGATTTTTCACTTCCTTTGAAAACTTCTAGCTGGCACCCCAGACAGTCCTGTAATCTGTTGGACCCATTTGGTGGTGGCCCCTTTAAGTGGGTGCCCACTCCTGGGTATTTGTGGTACAGGCCTCAGCCCTGACTTGCTCCCACTGAGCCCTGTCCATTTGTCCTCTCTCCAGCCTGGCTGTCCACCCTGATATGGTCACCATTGCCACTGGACAGGTGGCAGGCACCACTAAGGAAGGGAAGGTAACAGAGTGGAGAGGGCAGGGCCAGGAGACTGGAGTGGGTGCTTGGGGGGGCAGGCAGCTGGGCCTCCCCAGGTAACAGGCCTCTCTTTCCTGCAGCCACTGCCACCCCACGTGCGCATCTGGGACTCAGTTTCCCTCTCCACCTTACACGTGCTGGGCCTGGGTGTATTTGACAGAGCTGTGTGCTGTGTGGGCTTTTCCAAATCGGTAAGTCCTGCACCCACCCTCACCTGCCCTCTCACCTCCAAAATCAGCAGCCAGCACAGCACCTTCCCACCGGCCCCTTTGGGTTGGATGCCAGCCTTTACTGTGATGTCATAGGTGTAGGCCATGCCCCTGGGAGAATTCAGGCCCTCCAGGCTGGGTGCCCATCTCTGACTTCACAGGCCTTCTCTGTTAGCCCTTACGAGGGGCACCCATAGGTCCTGATTGCCCCGGACGAACTCCTTGGTGATGCCCTGTAGATCAGTTAACGCTGGTGCCTTAGTTCCCACCCCTACCATCATCCTCAAAGACATTTTCAGCCCAGTGTCCAGGGCGATGGGGCTCCTTGTGCCGGGCAGGGCGTTGGCAGGTCTGGGCAAGATAAATGAAGGCATTGAGAGTAAGCCTTTGGGAATTTGTAGAGCAGTTTGACATTCACACACACCCAAGTATGGTGGTATGGGTTTTTTTAAACCATATTTTACATTTTTATCATTTTACCAGTGTTGGCCTGCAGTGGATCAGGAAATAAAAAAACAGCCGGTCCTCCCACAGATAGTTTAAGAAGCTCTGGATTAGAGCCTTGTGGGTTTTCTGAGTCCTAAGGAGACATTTGAGAGCTTTGGGAGGAAAAAAGCTATTTTATTGCCAGTATGTGTGTGTGTAAACCCCTGCAAAATCAAGATTAACCTACGTTTAACTCAACGTATAATGAAACATTTCACCAACTTTATTGTTTAATTTCATATACATAAAAGTTATTCCATAGGAAAATGGAGATTGGATGGCCTCAGTAAGAATTCCTGACTGTGATGACGTGGAGAAACTGTAGCTGAGGGTAAATGAGATAGATTCTTAGGGACAAGTCATTTCCAAAGGGAAATCATAAAAACGTGCTTATGGCTGCTGGATGGGGAGTGTATTTTGATGTGCTTCATGTGATGTGGGCCAGAGCCTTTGAAAATGTTAAAACAGGTCTGAGTGGCAAATGTCCCAGCGGGTGAATTATTGCGGGGGGTGGATGCTGACTCACTTGCCCCTCTCTCCTAGAATGGGGGCAACCTACTCTGTGCAGTAGATGAATCCAACGATCACGTGCTTTCCGTGTGGGACTGGACCAAGGAGGCCAAGGTGGTGGATAGCAAGGTGGGGTGACCATGCTCATCCATTCTCCTTGGGATGTCCCTGTGGGACTGGCCGGATCTCAGTGGTTAGGCGTCTGGTATCTGAGAGACTCACGTTTAAATCCTGGTTTTGCCATTTGCTGGCTGTGTGACTTTGGGCTTGCCCTCTCTGAGCCTCAGTTGCCTCATCTTAAAAATCGGGATAATGGTAGCTTCTTCCTTGTAAGGCCTTGGCTTTGATGTTGGGATATGTGGACCAGGCCCAACAGAAGGTTTGGTATGAGGTGGCTGCTGACTCTACAATCCTGCCACATCCAAGATAGACCTTGACTTGCGTCCCTGGGCAGTGGCCTGTTTTACAGATGAGGAACCTCAGGCATGGTAGAGGGGAGAACTCCTTGCCCGAGGTCACACACCTGTTCTGGGCTGGGGGCTGGAGACCTGGGTTCTGGATTGGGGCCCACAGTTTGGGGAAGGAGGAATGGTTGAGAGGCTGCGCTCTGGAGTCAGACCTATATGAGTTGATACCGAACACGATGCTTTCCTGGCTGTGTGGCCTTAGGCAAGCGACTTCACCTCTCTGAACCTCACTTCTTTATGTGTAAGGGGAGGCACTAATGAGCCTTATCTCACAGGGTGCTGTGGGGTTAAATGTAAAGTGCTTGGCACAGTGCTTGGTGTGGAGTAGAGCTGTCTAGGTGCCTTGCTGTTATGTTAATGAAGGTGGCAGTAATGCCTCGCTGGTGGGCCCTGCCTCCTGTGCTTTACTTGCCCGGAGAGAAAAGAATCAGACAAGTCAGGAGTGCAATGTACAGCACACACAGCTGGATAGGGCACTTCTATGTAGGGTGGGTGCGGTGGCCCTGGTGGCTTTGAGGACCTCATTCAGATCTCCTCACTCCCCAAAGTGTTCCAATGATGCTGTGCTGGTGGCCACCTTCCACCCCACGGACCCCACCATGCTCATCACCTGCGGGAAATCCCACATCTACTTCTGGACCCTGGAGGGGGGCAGCCTGAGCAAGCGGCAGGGCCTCTTTGAGGTGAGTGCTGAGGGTGGGGGGACAGGCTGGGCCTGAAAGAGGCAGCAGGGATGCCCAGACAGATAATAGGGCACTCCAGAGGGTCCCAGGGGCTGGAGGTTATGCAGGTGCTGAGATGTTGCCTGCCAGGGCCTCAGTTTCCTTATCCATACCATGGAGATGAATCCAGATGCTCCTTAGCTCTGAAATTGTGAAGATTCAGTGGGATGAAGAGTTTAGCAGCTCCTAGCAGATAGTACATGCTCAATAAATGGGTGCTGCCATTGTTGTTATGGATAAACAGAGAGGTCAGAGGCAGGCTGGCAGAGGGAAACGCGCACCAAGGCAGAGAAACTGAGTGGGAAGCAGAGGGCCTAGAGAGAAGATCGAGGGGCACTTCTGATGGGGCTCCTCTGCCTTTGGTGGGGGTTTGGGCTTCACTCCAAAAAGAAAGGCCTTGAGAACACCAGGCACAGATGGAGATGAACTAGAGGTACTGAGAAGAGGGTGGGATGTGGCTGAGAAAGAGACCTAGAGACAGAGATGGGGAGGGATGGAGGGAGAGGGGAGAAGTGAGGGTCAGGGGCACGGGGAATCCCAGGGGAAGAGAGCAGGGGAAACTGACAGAGGGGAGAAGTTAGGCAAGAAGTGGGTCCAGGGATGGGAAAGAGACAGTGTGGTCAGAAACTCGGCAACGTAAGCACTCCATGGAGGTGGGTTGGAGATGGGGACACTCCACGCAGAGCCTCACCCAAGAACATGGAGGGAGTCCCCCAGACAATGGATGGGCTCTGGGAGGCCACCCAGCTTCAGTGAGCTTCTGAGACCTTCCCCTTCTCCCCCCGCTTAGAAACATGAGAAACCGAAGTATGTGCTGTGTGTGACCTTCTTGGAGGGTGGCGATGTGGTCACCGGGGACTCTGGAGGGAACCTCTATGTCTGGGGCAAAGGTATCATCCCACCTTTTGGGTCCCCAACCCAGCCCTCCCTAACCTGCTTTGGCTGTGCCTCTCTTCTTCTGACTCTGCTTGTGTAGAATGGAAGATAAAACAAGCTAAATCCTACTTGTTCAATTCCAACACCCCCATCAAGGCTCAGCTCCAATACCCCAGCTCCCTGAAATCTTCCCTTTTTTCCCACTCTTGTCCTCTGCAAATCCCATATTAGGGATCAAGTTTGAGCTATAAATGAATGGGTTAACCCAGTCGTGGGTGGATGGATGGATAGGTGGAAAGATGGTGTGTCCCAGAGCAGTGAACGAATGAATGAATGAATGGTATCTCAGCCAGTGGATTAATGTGTTATGAAGAATGGATTATTCTAGGAAGTGGGTTGATTACTGAATGCATAAATGAGTTGAATGTCCTAATCAGTAGCTGGGCCCAGAGTAAATGTTAGTTAAATAATTGTTGATTGAATGGGTTAATGAATGACTAAATGGATGGTTCGATTGACAGATAAGTGGATAGATGAGTGAAATGGATAGATGGAAATGGGTGGGTGTTTGGCTAGAAGGATAGATTGATTGGTGAATGGGTTCTTGAATGAAACAGAGGATGAATGAATGGATGAGAGGTGGGTGGATGGCAAGAAGGAAGAAAGGGCCAGTGGCTGGATGAATGGATAGATGGGTGGGTGAGTGGCTGAGGGATGGATGGATGGATGGACAGACCAGTAGATAGGTGAGTGGGTGAATGGACGGGGAGTGGGTGGATGGGTAGATGAGAAGTTGTTAGTTCAGAGGTTTAATGGATGGAAGCCTGGGTATTTCAGCAGATGAGTGGGTGGGTGGAAGGGTGTATAACAGGAAGGGGGGCGCGAATGGATGGATGTAGGATTGAGAATTTTAGGTGCTTTCAGGGGTTAGTACAGGGGAAGCTTCCCCATGCTGACCCCTGCCCCTGGCCATCCCAAAGGTGGAAACCGCATCACCCAGGTGGTGCCTGGTGCCCACGATGGTGGCGTGTTTGGGCTCTGCGCCCTGCGGGACGGGACGCTGGTGTCCGGAGGTGGCCGCGATCGGCGAGTGGTCTTCTGGGGCTCTGACTACAGCAAACTGCAGGAGGTGGAGGTGAGGACAGGGAGAGGCTCCTACGAAGGTGAGGAGATCTCCCCTCACCCCATTAGGACTCCTAATGCTAGACCCTCCTCCGCCCTCCCCTGTGTGTGTCCTACCCTCATCTACCCACCTTCTTCACTTTCGCCTGCCCAGGTTCCCGAGGACTTTGGCCCTGTGCGCACTGTGGCAGAGGGCCGGGGGGACACGCTGTATGTGGGGACCACCCGCAACTGCATCCTGCAGGGCTCTGTCCACACGGGCTTCTCGCTGCTCATCCAGGTGAGCTCTCTCTTCTGCACCTGCCCACCTCCCTGCCCCACCATCTCTTCTCTTCCCTTTCTGTTTTTTTTCTCACCTCCCTGCCCCATCCCTTTTCCTCTGGCCTGGCAAACACCTCTTCCCTTCCCTTCCCTTTACCTGCGCCTGCTCTATAACCCCACCCCTGACCTAGGACCGCTCCTAGAACTCCCCATGACCCAGCAACCAACAGGTGAACTGCTGGCACAGCAGAGGGTCCCCAGGACCCCACTCCAGCTGTGCTGCCCCAGCTCTTCTGATCAGGGTAGTGTCCCTTTCTGTTATAAGTGTCATGGCAGGTTGTCACACAGGCTGCACATACCTCGGGCCACATACCTTCCAGGTCTCCAGGTCCAAGGATCTGGGGGGCCCTCTGGAGTCTGCCTGTTTTTCTCCTTGAGGCTCATGCCCACTCCTCCCTCCTGGTGTGCCCAAACCCTACCCCTGCCCACTAACAATCCCACTTCCTGTAAGATGGGATAGTGTGGTTGTTAGGAATGTGAATTCTAAAGTGTGACTGCCTGGGATCTAGTGACAGCCCTGTCGCTCATTAGCTGTGTGACAGGATGCAAGTGAGTGACCTCTCTGTGCCTCTGTGAAACCGAGGAATAACAGAGCTGACTTCATGGGGTTTTGTGATGAATCCGTGAGTCAGTTCATATACAGCATTTAGTTAGAATGGTGCCTGGTACAGAGTAAATGCTCAGAATCTTGGCCAAAATTGCTCCTGTTCAGTAGTCTCCCTTCCTTCACCCTCTCCATGCATTTTCCCTCTGACATTTTCCCTCTGTGCTGCTGCATTTAGACACCCCCCACACATACACTCTAGTTTCCATAGGAAGGAGATGAAGAAAAACAAAGGCTACAGGGGTTTTCCACGTGTCCCCAGAATAGACCTTGGAGACCCCTAATAATATCATCAATATTCTTTGTGATTGATTATATTATGAATTAATTATTAGCATTACTATTATACTGATACCAATTATTATAGTTATATTATCAGTGTTAATGACTTATTAAAGTCCCCTGCCCAGGTGACTGCCCAGTCAGTAGAGAGAGCTGCAGTCAGACCCAACCAGGCCAAGTACATGGGATCGCATAGCCTTCTGGGTGCCAGCTGACTCCCAAAGTCAAGCTCCTACCCACCCTGCTCTCTTGTCTCCCACTGTGCAAACAGGAAAGCAGGGAGGGGGTGGGGCATTTGCCTCCAGCCACACACTGGCAGGGGTCTGCCCTATCACTGCCTCCTTCAGACACATTGGAGAAAGGGCCTTCCCTGGGTCACCTATGGGCAGGTGTGTTGCTGAGCTAGTCCAGCTCTTCTTTCTGGCATCAGGGTTGGGGGGAAAGGGTCAGGATTTGTGGTCTCCAATCTGCCATCTTTCATTTCTGCCAGGGCCACGTGGAAGAGGTGTGGGGCCTGGCCACATACCCCAGCGGGGCACAGTTTGTGACATGCGGGCTGGATAAACAGGTGCATTTGTGGAGCGTGGAGTCCCACCAGCCCCTGTGGAGCAGGGTCATTGAGGTAAGAGCACAGGGGACTTAACACACTGTTCTAATGGGTCAGGACTTGGTGCATTAGACAGAAACCACACTCGTTCTTTTTAAGCAGAGGGGGCTTAATACTCCCTTAGAAACTCAAACCCTTATAAAATCTCTTGGAAGGGCTGGAGGAGAGGGTCCTCAACTGGAACGACACACAGAACAACACCTTTGAACCCAGGTCTGATTCCATGGTGCTCTATTGCCTGTGAACCAACCCAATGCTCCCAAAACTTTAAAAAATGATAATACCTAGTGCTGGATGTTAGATAAAGATGTGGGGAAACAGTCATTCAGACACATCTGGTAATAAGTTAGCATATATTTTTTGGAAAGCAAATTGGTATTATATATCAAAACTCTTAAAATTATAGATACCTTGCCCTAACTGGTATGGTTTAGTTGGTTGGAGCATTGTCCCATGCACCAGAAAGTCCCCAGTTCGATTCCCCATCAGGGCACATACCTAGGTTGTGGGCTTGATCCCTAGTAGGGGGTGTGCAGGAGGCAGCCCTTCCATGTTTCTCTGTCACATGGATGTTTTTCTCTCCCTTTCCCTTCCTCTTAAAAAAATCAATAAAAACATATTTAAAATATAGATAAATAGATACCTTTTGTCCCAATAGTCTCACTCTAGAAAATTACCTAAGTAAATCATCTTGGATGAATCAAGCTGTGGGAATTTAGAACAGGAGTAAAAGAGGATCCAGAACCGACAGTCACAGGAGGAATGTTTTCTGTTCAAGCTGGTTTGTGAAAGGAAAGAGGGATGATTTCTAGTGTGTCTGAGGCAGTGGGTTCCTGGAGGGCACCAGAGCAGGGAGAGCCTCCATGTCTGGCTGAGAGTTGGCTCTGAGGCAGGGGAATGGCCAGATGGACAGGGGACCCCAGCTCTGAGCCCTGCCTCTTCTCTCCCTCCCCAGGATCCTGCCCGCTCTGCTGGCTTCCACCCCAGTGGCTCTGTCCTGGCTGTGGGCACAGTGACTGGCAGGTAAAGCTGACTTGGGCATTTAGGGATGGCTTCTCTGCTCTCCTCTCCCTGGAACTGTCCTTTGACCCCCCTATTCCCTACTGCCCCAGAGCCCACAGAGAACATTAGTTAGGTACCAACTGTTTACCGAGACTTGATCTCCCAACATTCCTCTGGAGTCAGCTTCTCTCCCAGATCTCTTCTGGAGCCACTCCCTCAGGCCCTAGGGAGTGGCCCCCCCCTCCTACCAGATCAGCTCACCTTTCCTCCTTCATTCCCATGTCTTCTCCTTAAAGATGGTTGCTGCTGGACACAGAGACCCATGACCTGGTGGCTATCCATACAGATGGCAATGAACAGATCTCAGTGGTCAGCTTCTCCCCAGGTAAGGGGCAGGGCCTGAGACCTTGGAGAGGCAAGGCCTGGGAACTGAGCCTCAGAGTAACTGTCAGGGGAAAGGAGTGGAGCCTGTGTGGCCAGGCCTGGCTGCAGGCCTAGGACTGTAGTGGGGATGGAGCGTGGGACTGCTGAGGAGTCTGGGACAGTGGGGGGCTGAATCTGAGCAAGGAGGGGGTGGAGCCTGGGTGCCTCCTCATAGCCCCCCTCCCCCTCCCCCAGACGGGGCGTACCTGGCGGTGGGCTCCCACGACAACTTGGTGTACGTGTACACGGTGGACCAAGGCGGCCGCAAGGTCAGCCGCCAGGGCAAGTGCTCGGTGAGTGGGCAGTGGCCCCAGCCCGTGCCGCCACCCCGTCTAGGGGGTGCAGAATTAACCAATTTTCTGCCTCAAGGGAGCACAGCTTCAACCTTCAACTGACCACCCTGCTCACCTCCAGGAGTCTTAGCCCCGCCCACACATCCCCCCACCCTGTGTCCT